TGCATCGAGCTGGCATTAATGCATGGGCTTGCAATCTGCACCAAATGCTCATTTTGCACGACCAATTAGCAGACGTTTCAACATTCTCGATGCAAAATAAAACATTTTTAAAAGACAAAATTGTAATTGACAGAGCTTATCTGCATTGGGCATTTTACTTGACTCAAAATTAATTTGTTCCAGCTGAAATAAGTGTGAATTCCAATATGTCTTAGTCACATTGTTTTACGTTTTTTTTTTCACTTAAAATTGGACACGATGCCAACTCGCCCGTACTAATAGAAACATTACTTTTTGTTGGAGCTTTGCAACTATGAGAGCGTGCAAATAATACACAAGATTTACAGGCAAAAAAAGCAAAATCACGTTGCTTTCATGCATTTGAAAATTGTAAACTAATGTTGTTTAAATATGCTATTTAATTAAATGATCAGTTTTGTTTTTGAAAAGAATCAATGCGCATTTCCAGATTCCCAGACTCAATTCTAAGGCAATTTTAGTGAGCTTTTGTGCGTCTGTTCATTACAGGGGACAACCAAAAATTTTCAAAGATAACATAAAAAGTTGTATACAAAAAAAGCTAAAATATTGGGCATATCTGATATTTATGTCCGAATGAAATTAGTGCCCCATGTATTACTATATTCAAAATATTTGTACATACTTATTATTTTTTTACCATTACTCAAACGTATAATTGCAATGTTAAATAAAATTATAGATAAAGGAATATAATTCCCTAATATTGAATTGTGTTGTCAATTATGAAACATAAAACATATTGAAAATAACACAGTATTGTAAGTAATCCTCTCACAAACCAAAGAACAACTACGTTTGACTTTATTAATATATATTCATTATACTAATTTTAGATTTATAAATTTCATGCCTCGCTTTTTTTCAACTGCACAATGATTTCTCAAAATCATCTCAATTTTTGAACCGCATTTACAAAACTGTGTAAATTTCAAATTTAAATATACAGTGTGTGTTTTTAATTAGTTGTCATAAGTTAAGAATATTGCCTCTTTGATAGTGTACAGAATGTGAATGCTGCCCAATGGATGTAGGATTAATATTAGCGGTGGGGATTGTCAAATGGTATAATGGTCTCCACCCACCCGCACCCCAATTAGAGCAGAAGGCGAAGGGTGGCACACTTCGTCTGGTCGACAGCGGAAGCCTTCGTGTATAAACTTGCTTCCCGCGCGCACAAATATGTACATACTTGCAATTGGATCATTGTTCAGATTATTATTTTTAATCTCTCGCCTCTCTTCAAATTATAACCTGTCAGCGGCTGGTGCCCTTTCCTCGCTCCCAACACAGCCAATTGAGAGCACTAATAAGCAAGTCGGAAATATTTCAACCTCGCTACTTCAATTCCCCACACAAGGGACCAATCAGCATTGCCAGAGGATTATACCGATTGCGTATGGTCACGGATAGACTCATCTTATTTCCAGATTTTCTGCATTCATAATGTGTCCTCTGAGTCTTTCCTACCCCGACGATTAACTAAAAAACCCGAGCTCTTGAATGAAAACTCATATTAAGGGCCATGTGCTCACGCTTGCTTTTACAAATGAAACAAAATCTTCCCACCAAGCCATTCATACAAATGAGCCATTAGTTTAAATGACCATTTATTTAATGCACATGCTTGGACAGATTATTCAAAGTTGTAACTATTCGCACTCTAAGTTACCCAGTATAATGTATTATTGTTTCTGGTCGTTACATTTTCATAATTGTGTCAAATACTTCTAGAGAATTTTTAAAAGAAAATATAAGCAATTAATGAACATATTTATTCCACTACTTTGAACATAAATCATTCATAATTAGATATTGAAAATGTATACAATGATATATTTTATGGGACCAATTAATTTATTAATCTTCATAAATATCAAAGCTAAACTAAGCACTGTTACCAATTTTTATGAAAACAACATTGTTTGAAACCTCCATCAAAGGCTATTTGGTATGTGGAAAGTTACATTATGAATACATAATTATATAATTGAGTGATACAATTCCCCTAACCTCCCATAGAAGAGGTATTTTGAGTCTCAAATGGATGTATTTTGGTGAAAATATAGTATACGGTATTTAATTTGCCGCTTCAATATGTATTGCTATTATTCCTTGTTAAAAACTCTAATTGTTTGGAACAACAATATTGCATACTTGTTTTGTTCTTTTTATATATATAACATTTTATTCTTACATCAACGTTTTAAGACATGATTTCAATGTAATGTCTTAATTACTAAAGTAATGTTATCGTACACAACCAAGAATAGTACGTTTAAACAACAACAATGAGTAAAAAGACTTCCACTAAACTTAAAAAAGCCTATACTGTGGTTTAAAGATGTGCCTGTTCATATCCTTTGCATTCAGTACCATTCTTCTGCTTATCATATGCAGGAAATGTAAGCATAAATTAAGTAACAAATAAATGCTCAACTAGGAATAGAACTCTATACATTGGCTGACAGGTGGTTTTCACCTATAATATTGGGTTTACTTCATGAAAACATTTCAGCTGATGAAGAGGCCTCCAAGTGTATGAAGAAATGGCCGTGACGGGAGAGCGTGTCGTAGAGGATGACCCACACGGAGATCGAATGCCAAGCTTTAGGATACGTGGGGAGCCAGGTGGACTGCAGTACAGGGCAAGGAAGTAATGCCGGTAGTGAATCGGCAATTGCTGAAAATGGGCATGCCTAATGAATATGGGTGGCGAGATGTTAACTACCTCGCCTGGTATACAGCAGATTGAGGCTTTCATATCGACCGTCATGGCTGCAGTTTGCACGTTCCCCGCGTAGCCGCGTGGATTTTTCTGTGAGTCAGGTCGCTTACGATAAAAACAATTATAGAGCCTCTAGCCGACAGCAACCCGAAAGAAAAGCCACTGTTAGCGCCTTGGGTCGTATAATACAAAACCGTGAGAAAATATTCGTTTCGAGCTAAACGTTTTCAGCGTTAGTTCTAAGGTCATTGTCCATTCACAAAGACCGCTTCTGCGAATGTGTATACTCACTGGCGATACATGGATCGCACTAGAAAATGGTCTGAAACTATGAGTCACAAAGGAAAGTGATACTCCAAACTTCAGTTGATATACATAGGACAGTGTTACAGTTAGTTAAAAGTGTCCTAATTTTTTATATTGAAATTTTATCTATTAATGAGGAAAGGCCTTCAGATGACCATAATAATAATAACACATATAGTCCTAATAGTATGGGCTACTTTAGCCTCATTTAGCAGTATGAAGAAGCACCGTCAAATAACCCCCACGAACTGCACATAATGTTTATGCCCTCATTCAGCAGTGGACTGCCATAAGGGCTGTACATATACATTTAAGTTACCCTGCTGACAGTGTTACAATTAGTGATAAATTATCACGTGGTTAGTCATGGTGGCACCATGCTGGCAAACCATGGAATTAAATGCGTATACATTTACTTGCAAAGGTGTCGACATGCGTACGCATAACGTACATGCAAAGTGTATATACGCTATAAGCAAAGCAGGCATATGTGGAAAATTGCAGGACTGCTGGGAAAACTAGAGCGAAACTTCCGTACATAATAACACGAACAACTTAATCCGGCAAGCTCACAAGGGACCATTAGTACACTTACAAATATAATGTAACTGTCATGGGTCATACAAACATGTCAAATTGTATCCATGTCATTGGCACACAATGGGCTACTGGTGAAAACCAAGAACAGAGAGTTTGACAGATACTTTGCAGCAAAGTGTGTGCTTTGACAGTGCCTTCCAGGATTTTACATGGCGGAGGTGCAATCGAAACTGCTGAGCCCTGGCAATGCACTGGCTCTACATACTGTGCACATATCACTCGAGGTTATCCGGCGACGATTCATCATTCAAGTATTTACAAACTAGCCACTCAATCGGCACGTCTTGGAGCACTAGCTGTATCAAGATAGTTTTCTCTCTAAACATGTGCGACGGTTCCCGCACTGGCTCACGCGGCGAATCTTACTCCCCGAATACACTTCACGAGAAACGGGCTCTAATTGTAGCATCCGCAACAGATGCACGTCCGTATCGGTGTCAGCTCACGCCGGTGCCGATTAATCGACAGTTTACATAAAACACAAATAAAACCCAGCGCCTTTCGTGGCGCAGCGGTGCTGCTGCTGCTGCTGCAAGGCGGCCAGTCGCCGTCGCGCCACTCCGAGGTCGGCATTTGGCGCTCGTGACCCTCGCAAACTCGATCGGATCGCAATTGTCCTATTGCACGTCTCTCAGTTTTTAGTCGGGGGTTCACGGCTCTCCGTTATAGCCGCGAAAATAAATGCTCACATTATACGCATGATTAGCACGGTTGGCTGCGTACGGCGCGAAAGAAGTTCAACATACATGCATTGTATTTTTATCGGACCACTATAACTGTTTTAAATCCCGTAAATCTGATCGAATACATTTAACCCAATACCAACGTGGACACGGGATACATTTGATCACCGTCCTGTGCACGGATGACACTAAGTGAAGAGAAAGAGAATAAAGGCTCTCGTAAGTGAATGCGGTGCCAGCGGTACATGTGAAAATCTGCAGCTGACCCTCCTTTTTTTGGCTGAGTCAACCTGAAAGATGTCCTCGCCACGTGTGGACACCGATTGTCAACGATGTGAGAGACCGGCCGAAAATCAAATCAACGTCGCAGGAATGGAAGTGCAGCGCGCTGACCACTTTGTCCACAACGTAGCGGGGGCGAACGCCGCTCACACGCGCGCGCTCAATGCGCACACGCGTTGCCACTTGAAATTTACTTTATTAATGGACACAGTCTCATAAGTTGCCATTCATCCAGCCATACGCGAGAGAGAAAATGTTTGTCCGTTGTTGGTGAAGCCACAAGCCTGTGACAGAGCCAAATTAGCGTCTACGGTCGTGTGCGTGCCTGCGAGCGATGCATGTGTGCGTGCGCGTGCACGTACAGACGGGCTTACTGCATTTGGCCATGGCCCAGGTGGACACCCTGGCTCTGGACTCGACGAGTTGGTTGCCCGCGCCACCGTTCTGCTCCGGCCGGGCCAGCTTGCTGGGAGGGTGGTCCCTCGCCACGTCGCTGGGACTGGCGCAGAACTCGCGGAGCCCCTGAGTGGCCCACGACTCCTCTCCTTTATTCATCCCCTGCTGGATCACACGCGGCGATCACTCGCGAAACCCGCGGGCTGGGTTAGCCCAATGCACAATGATGCTCGGCAGGAAGTGGGAGCACTCAAATATTAACGCAGCGAGATTATAATGGCGTTTGCAGACATAATGTGGAATGATGGAAATCAGAATTGCGGCTTACAAGATTTCAGCTGTTTTAAATGTCTACATGCATCTCAAAATATCAGTACACACTGCTTTAATATTATACAACACGACTGTAAGGCATCACATCACCCGGACGCTATATTGTCAAAATATTTGAACGTGTTAAAAACGAACCATTACGTTAGTCATTTTTTTATCGTGATAAAAACATGCGGGGCAGATAAAAAAAATGTAGAATGGCATTTACGATGTACATTTAATTTAAACGGCATTTTCAATGTAACACATTTTTTAAAAATTACCTTAATTTTGAGAACTGAATTTAAGTCACAGTTCTTTTTTACCATCTTTGCTTGATGGATATCTTCGTCGAAGCCACGGTTTGTTCCTCTAAGTGTGCGACCGCTTGGCTTTGCAGCCCATTTCAAGTAAAAAAAACCCCAGCATGAAACTTATTATCGAGACTACCGGCCCTATTTATCTCGTGCCTACCTTTACACTGCAATTTGAACTTTAAGTCATTAAAATTATGCACCTCACTATATCTCTGCATCGGCCAAGATACGACGAGTATTATTACCGTTACTACGGTATTGTGAAGACGTCTTAAAAGTTACGCAGGAAATATTGAAACTCAAGGTGCTGACGCGGAACACTGCAGGTGGCTAGGTATTGGTTGCAGTGCCTGACACGTGAATTGAACACCCACTACCCCACGGAGAAACTTAAGGAGATTGCAGTTTACGGAGTCTACCTGAAATCAATAACGGCTTGGGATAATTAACAACCTGAAACATGACAACTTTGAATTGCTGAAAGTTGCCTTAACTGTGAATAAGTAACGCTCCAGCATTCCAACAAAAGAAATAGTTAATCTACGAAACAAATTCACCAAGTGTCCTCAAACAAACGCTATGTTTTGCGATTGGAAGTAATGGTCAAGTTACTTTAAGTGGTACTGAAAAACATACCACATACACACAGACAACACGTGGACATCACGCACGGGCACGACACAGAGATAGGTCTCACGCAAGTGTAAACCAGGCGCAGCGGTGAGTTGGAAACATGCGACTCTGCTCTCTATAACGCGTTCCCTGCACAGACACGCGGCTTGAGGACGTAACATCATAGTGGGAGACAAGATATACAGGGAGACAGACAACAGAGAGGCAGCGTAGACACTGAGACAGAAGATAGAGACAGCGTAGACACTGGGACAGAAGATAGAGACACTGGAACAGGAGACACACAAGGGAAACACGGGGTCAGGAGACATAAAAGTACACGTCCTCATTGGGGAAACACTCGTGAACAATACACAGAGAGAAGCGAGAGTACGAGGACAGGGGAAACACACACACATACATACACAAGATCAACGCCTCGTGCTGCTGCGACTTCCTACCGCGCAGACAAGTTAGTGACAGACACGCGAGCGACACGTACACAAGAACAACTCCGAAACAAGCGACAGGACACGAGCAAAAAAGACAGGCAAGCGAGGGTGGTAAGCGGCAGGAAAACAACACAAAGGAGTTCTTAAGACGAGACAAACACACAGAGTGATCGGCGCAGGGACCAGAGAAGCGTATACTGGGGTATGATGGGAAATACTACTACTACGAGTAAAGAGACAACATCGCACAAACACAAAACACGGTGTGACGTTACTCAGGACCACGCAATACAAGCCAACACGACAACCACACACACACACGCGCGCGCGCAAGACACAGACGTCCACGGAGAAGACACAGGACACGTGGGAGACACGGACACTCGGGAGACACGGAGACCAGACGGGGAACCGAGCCCCAGGGGGTCCCAGGTGCACCGCTGTCCGATCCGCGCTGTCGCCCGAACAAAGAGCGCAGCCGAGACGCGCGGCGCGCTACAAGAAGAAGCAGCGCTCCCCACCCCCCCTACCACCACCACCACCACCCCTCTCTCTTTCTCTTGCCCGTACTCACCGCCTCGTGTGCTCGTCTTCCCAGCACTTTTAATCTCTCCCCTCCGAGGAAACGCGCGCGGCTTCCCCCACTCGGTCACTGCTGCGCACCTTCCCGAGCCATGCGCCGCGGTCCTGAACTCCTGCACCCCCCTCCTCCTCTTCCTCTTCTCCTCCGCACCCCTCCCGGCACACGGGCGCACGGCGAACCGCGCTACTCCGCGGGGCCGCCTCTGGGCCTGTTCCCCCCACCAGCAGCAGCAGCAGCTCCCACGCTGAAGGCCGGAGAGGAGCCGCTCTGCAGGGATGAGCAGGGATGCGAGGAGGAGGAAGAGGAGGAGGAGGCGGCGAGCCGGTGCTGCTGCTGCTTGCGCACGCTCCGGTTGCGGGACAGCGCAGACAGCCCCGCGGTGGAGGGCACAGCACCGCGGCCCCTGCCGAGTGGAGGTCACGATAAAAGTGGTGCCGGTCGCAGCCGCGCCGCTAGTCGTAGTGCGCTGGTAGTAATGGTGCTGCTGCTGTTATTGTTGTTAATACGGCAGTCACTTTGCGAGTCGCCGCCTGTCACCGAAGATCGGAGGGCCACCCGCTCACAACAACAAGCGTGACAGAAGCACGCAACGTAAATGGTGGAGGTGGTGGGGGGGGGGGGGAGCAAAACAAAACTAGGAAACGTCAAAGAGTGCTCGCCTCCTCCCAGGTACCACCCAGCAACACCAACAACACGAATAAGAACGCTAAGACCGACACGGCCAAGCCGCAGATGATTAGTTACGGAGACTCATCACGCACGAGTCACGGAGCCGTCACACGAGATTTTAGTTTTTTTTTCTCGCGTTGACTCAGCCGAAGGTAGTTTGACGAGATCCTTGGGTGCGGGTTTCCTCTCGGATCGGACACCCCCCACCCCCCACACACACACCACACGAACACCTTTCAATCCCCTAGGTCGCCCCCTTGTTTAGCGTCCCGGTTCGAGCCTCGGTCCGTCGCGTCTCTCTCTCTCGACTCTAACCTCGGGCTGCGCGTGATGGGGAAGGAAGACGGAGAAGAGGAGTAGGAGGAGGAGGAGTAGGTGGCGTAGCCCGCAGAGCGACGGCAACAGCGCTTATCGAGGAGGAGGAGGAGGAGGAAGGGGGGGGGGGCCCGGCCGCGCACGAATTTTTAATCAGCTTGATTACTGTGAAGCGGCTCGCATTTATTACAGATAATAATACCACATGATCAAATAATTATATGGCTGCGTGAGCCTCCGGGAGGAGGGGCAGGGGATGAAGCGAGCGCTGCGAGTGAGCGCTTCGCAGCCGCTCCCGGCTGTTGTGCGTGAAGCTTCGGACCGGTTATGGTTAATAAGGATTAGCGGCGAGTGCAATGTTTAATTTCACTGACGCGGAAAAGTATTTTGCGTAACTGGCTTTCGGCTGCGAGAGGGGCTGCGGTGGCTCGGGCACACCACCCGTTCGCCGTGCCACGTTCGGATGACGGTGCCACACTTTTCTTGCATGCCATTTGCATAAAATTAGTTAATAATAAACAACGCACCTAATGGACGCATGTTGCGACTTCTAAATTATTGATGAGCCTAGGTAAAATTGTCTGTGAGCTGTGCTGAATATTTCATAGGCAGCACCCGTTTCATTTTACAGCTGTCTGCAACATTAGCGAAACCTCCAGAGGTATGAAACACGGCGTTTTGAATAAGAAATGCCACCCTAAATGCGAATAGTGGATGCGCCGAGTAGAACAAGTGTGTGGGGGGGGGGGTTGCAGTATTTATTTAGAGACGGACGGCTGCGTGAACGGGGGGGGAGCGCTTTATGTGTAATTTGTGAGTGCCGAACGAACTCGCGGGGGGGCGGGGTGGGGGGCCCACAGGGGCCCTGGGTCAGCTTTGGGATTTCGACTGAAAATACGAACACTTTTTTCGCGAAGAGGTGATTAAAAAATAATATAAATAAATGTAAATTCGTGCTCTGACTTCTGGGCCTTGTAACTTTATTTTCTGTCATGTCCACACCTTGTTGAGCGCCCCTATATATACGTGTGTGTGCCAGGTGTGTGTGTGTATCCGCCCCGGCGTGTCCAGTGTGTGTGTCCGCCCCGGCGTTTCCAGTGGCTCTTGTCCGATCGTAACTCGCAATGGGTCCATCGCAGCCCTCTCTGCTTGGAGCGCACCTTGGTCAGCCGAGATGGGCAACATGCTCACAGCATGCAGTCCACATCCTCTACTGTTACACACGGCTTGACCGCAGAGCGCTGCTCATATATATCTACTGACCAGTTGTAGTTTTAGAGGGAAAGGCTATTCCAAGCGCTTTGTGTAATACCGTGCCATTTGTTGGCCCCTTTAACAGCCAAGACCGTGCCCGCGTGGAACCGGCTCCCTCGGTGCGCCGAACGACACGAACGTCAAGTGCACGAAGCGTTCGCCAAATAACCAAAGACGCCAACTACGAGGCACACTTTTAAACACACCGCTTACCTAACTCCACCACAGCCGCCAAGGCGAGTTGCTGTGCCAGTGTGCGCGATGCTACGTGTGGGTACAACTGCTCTCTCTCTCTCTGTGTTGCTGTACGGGACTGAGGTGGTGGGTGGTGGGAGGAGGAGGGTTATGTTACAGGTCTGCGCAGTGGCGTCCCCTCCACCTCCCCCCCGTGAGGTGGGAGAGATCCGTTTCGCGAGGTTGCGACGGCTGCTGCTGCTGCTCGATGACTGCAGGGGGGCACGGTGTGGGGTGTGGGGTGGGGGGGGGGTCTCTGTTTCACCGCGCCACAGTCTCCGCGGCCCCCGAGTCAGAGCAGAGCAGAGGGCGGCCCCCGTGCGGGAGTGGTGGCGCCCGTCCCCACGTGCGCCAGCCACCCCTACCGCCCCCGGGGGGTCGAGTGGAGAAGGAAGACGAGGTGCTCGCTAGAGAGAACGAGAGAGGGTGAGCCTTCGAACTATGAGATGTCGTGTTTTTTGTTGTTGTTGTTGTTAACATATATGAAGGTACAACTGCGTGTGTGCTTTGGGAGGGTCGGATGTCTGTGTGTGTGTGCGCGTCTGTGTCTGGGGGGGGAGCGGTAGTGTAGCGGTTAGCGCGCTGCACTACGAACCTGGCGACCCCGGTTCGATTTCCGCTCACGGCAAACACCAGTGACGATTATCTGAACCGGTCCTGGGCCTCCCCTAGGTCGACTCAGCCTCAAATGAGTACCTGGTGCAGTGTGTAAACATTGCCACTAGGGAGACAAAGGCGGTCGGGCGTGGCGCTGGCCACCCACCCCCTCGTGTACCGTTCCGGCCTTCATATGTGCTCGCTAACAGCACTTGCCCCTACAGTCTGTTAAGGCTATATAGGGGATCTTTGTCTGTGTCTCGAGAGCGGTGACGCTCGTGGTGCTTGCAAGTGCGCTGCGAACCCTGCCCACCCGACGATTTGATGACAGGGACCACGGGCAAAATTAGGCTGAAGAGAGGTTCGTCGTATCAAGAAATCTGGCCTGGGCATCCCTTAGGTCCACTCAGTCTTAAATTAGTGCAATGCGTTATGCAAACATATCGTACTCGAGAAACAAAGGTCTGTAATTGCTGGCCGCAACTACTCAGCACCCCATTGTGCAACGTGACGACCTTAATTGATAGGTGCTCGCTAATAACAGCATTCCCCCGGCAATCTGCGTGGCTATTCGTATAGGGGTGGTGGAGAGTGGGGGGGGGGGGTTAGGTTGGGTGGGGGGGGTTGGGGATGCGGCGAGCGATGTTGTTTTGTGTGGTGCGAAATCTTCCACGCGTTCCGTTTGCCGAGATCACCGCGGGTAAGCTCTCATCCTGCAAAGTTTAATTAAAGACCTTCCCGATGTTTATCGATCTGGGTAGGGTGGGGGGTTGGGGGCGGGTGGGGGGCCTGCTGCTTGACCGCTTCAAAGCATCGCAGAATGCATCGAGGCCGCCCGCGTGCGCTGCAATAACCACGGGCACGCCCGCGGTGGCGCCTCTCGTCAACCTCGCCACCGCCCGCCTCGTCGTTCATCGCGCGTGATCGCTTATCATCG